GGGGGGGGGGGCACTGACGCCGCGGTGCTCTAATCAATCACTATCACTCTCAGGCCGCAGATTGATGCTGTCAGATTATTTTCATCAGTGCGATACGTACTGTTTCTAAAAGAAGCCGTGGTCCGGAACCAGCCGCGGGCATTCGCCGCGGTTGCTGTTTTCTGCGTCGTCGTCTAAAGTCCGACCCCCTAGCAGAGCTCTGCTCCTAAAACAAACAAAGCTCTTTCGCACAGTCGTAGGTGGGGGAAATTTTGATGACATCACTCCTTACACATCAACACAATCCCCCCAAAAAAACGCATTAAAAAAAAAATCGGTTAAAGTCGAAAGCCTTGCGTCATGAATATGCACGTGGACGTTTTCGGCAGGCATCGCGTGCCCCCCACCACGTCAATGAACTACACTTTGCTGTGCGGGCGGGCGTGCACAAGCGTGCACTTTGGATTGTGAGTAAAAGTTGCATAGGCTGACTTGTGCCTGCGGTTCGTCGGCTCGACTTCCCTCTCACGCGAGGGTGTGGGTGGGGGCGCGCGGCGTGCGGTTGGGCGCGGCGGAGATTTAAACGCTGGAAGAGGGCCACGGATGAACGCTAGGAACGCTGCAGTCGTGTGTCTTGGTTTTGCTTATTTCTTGCACAGATTATGATTAAATATGTCAACTTTGACTGCCCTGTTCCAGGCGGACGGAAGGGAGGGGGAGTGTGGCGTAGAACGAATGGGCGCCAGTAAAATCATAATCTGGCCCGGCGGTTCCTGCCGGGGGTCTACGAGGGGAGGGGGAGGGGTCACGGAAGATCGGGCAAACACAGACGCGGAAAACACAAACATTGTTTCAAATAGGAAATTAAATCGCATGGAAAAGCACTGCTCGCCATGGCAGGGTTCCCCGCCCCCCACCAAGACGACGCACGTCCTTGTCGCTCCCGGGTGCGCGCTTATTGCAGTGCGAGGGAGACAACGAGAAGATTCTCATCAAGCGCCGCCGTGTCACCGCCCCCCCCCCCTCCTTCCCCCTCCCCTCTCCCACCTTTGGGCGGCAAGAGCGACAGAGACGGCAGAGGATCTTAATGTAATAGAGTATCTCAGTAGAGGTTAAGCTTCCTCGTCCAGCGCTAAATCTCGGCCGGTGCCTCAGTCGCATCAGTCACATTCGTGGAGCGTGGCCGAGAGGTCCGCGAAGTTCCCCTGGTCGCCGTCATGGCCCCCATCATCGTGTCCCGGACGCCGGCGTTGCTTCTGCTGGCGGTGCTCGCCGGGCCGTCAACCTTGACGTCGGCGCACCTGCGGGCGCCGCGCAACTCCAAGCTGCCCGTCGAGGCGTGGCTCTCGACGGTGAGTGTCGCTTAGGTTTAGGTTTGGCCGCGTCTCTCGGTGGGGCCTTCTCGTCCGTAAGATGTTTGCGACTAAAGCAACCCGTCTCGTCCGCAGCCGGAGCTGATCGAGCACTGGGGCTACCCCGCCGAGACGCACACGGTGCAGACCGACGACGGCTTCCTCATCGATGTGCACCGCATCCCAGGGCCTAAGCTCGGCGACAAGCCCGGCGTCGGCTCGCGAAGGACTCCGGTGCTCATCGCGCACGGCTACAGCGCCTCGAGCGAGTGCATGGTCCTGCGACCCCACGACAACCTGGGTGAGTACCTCCGACACGCGCCGCTCCCGCAGCCCCGTGCACGCGAGCTCCTCCCGGGTAATAATCGGTCAAGGAAAGATTCACACTCAACGCGCAACCCCTGCACCCTTGAGGGTGGGCTCCCTACATGCCCCCCAAGGAATGATCTTTCACCCACTTTGCCGTTCACCTCACCTACCCCGTAACGCTTATGGTCTAACCCCCGCCCCTCTCATGGCTCGGCAGCCTTCATGCTGGCGGACGCAGGCTTCGACGTCTGGCTGGGCAACACCCGGGGCAACTTCTACGGCAAGCGGCACCTCACCCTCTCGCCGCAGGACAAGGAGTTCTGGGACTTCGGGTGAGTTCTAGCGCGTTCAAAGCGGCCGGCAAGGCGCAACATAGTGAAGTAGCACGGCTGACGGAGGGGGTGCGTTTCCACGTTGCTGCAGCTGGCACGAGAACGGCCTGCTCGACATGAGCGCCACCATCGACCTCATCCTGCGCGAGACGGGCGAGCCCTCGGTAGTCTTCGTGGGGCACTCCATGGGCTGCTCCTCGCTGTTCGCGCTGCTCTCCGACCGGCCCGAGTACAACGCCAAGGTGCGCGCCGGCTTCCTGCTCGCCCCCGCCGTCTACTTCACCAACCTGCAGGGTGTCTTCCTGCAGATCCGCCGGACGCCCTTACTGCGCGTCGTGCACGTGAGTTTCCGCTAGTGGAGTTGATTCGATGGGTACCTCACCATAAATTCAAATCTCACACCTTCTTTTTTTAAATCTTCATTTTTTCTGACCTTTTTTTTTGGTGAGGGTGTGCACTGATTATTTTCTTAGTTTTTCCCACTCCCTTTCTCTCTGCCTCTCTCTGATGCCTTGCGTCTACCCGCAGCGCTCCTGGCTACGGTTGAACATGGAGAACCCCATAACGAGGGCGCCCTACCCGCGGCTCTGCCTGCCGCCCAACAGCTTGGTCATGAACCCGAGCTGCATGAAGCTGTTCACCGAGGCGCAGGGCCCGTTCTACAACATGGCCAACAACGTGAGTACTGAGCCAGAAAGGCGAGTGACAGGCGTAGCTAAGGGAAAGGAATACGTCACGTCCGTTTTTCGGAGATTAATTTGGTAAATTACGGGGGCTTGACGCCTGCGAGACTCAGGGTAGGCCAGCCCGCGGTACGCGCATGCAATGTAGGAAAAATGTTGCCTACCCATCAGGCGCTATGAGAGCTGTGGCTGTATGGCGGAACTGGACAACTTCCTCGATGATCCCTAAACACGACCCGCAGACAGGACAGAGCCACCACTAAGCTGTCAGTGGTAATGGACCGGAGAACTAACAAAGCGGGTTGCTCTGCTTACAGACATACATGCCGATCCTCATGCGACACTGGCCGGCGGGCTCGTCCGTCGGACAGACCACACACTTCCTGCAGCTCATCATACAAGGCAAGAAGTGCGGGACGGTGCACACGGTTGTCCGCCTGTCCGCGAATTGAAATCTTTGCTGGTCGTTTACAATTAGACAAATAATGATTTCTGTCCCTTTTGAAACGATCAGGTGATGGTTTCCGAAAATACGATTACGGACCAGAGATGAACAGCGTGCGGTACGGGTCAAACAGGCCACCCGAGTACAACCTGACTAACGTGAACAGCCCCATGTTCCTCTTCTACAGCGCCACCGACTACCAAGCAAACGGCAAGGTACATCATCGTCATCCAACTCACCGTTTCTATATTTTTATTATCCAAATACAATAATGATAGAATGCACTTTGCTCAGGATGTGAAGAGGCTGGCGTCCGACATCCCGGGGACAGCGGGGCTCATAAAGACGCCGACAAAAATATTTAATCACCTGGACATCATGTACGAGGAGGCTGCTGCCAAGCTCATATACAAAAGACTGATCAAACAAATGACGAAATATAGATCTATTTATTAATTTAATTCCGCATAGTATTGCTCATCCTCTTCTTGGCGAATTATCTTCGGCAATTGCTCTCTCACACACACACGCACTCGCGCGCAAAATGTTGCTGCTTACGTAGCGAGCTGTATACTCTTTCAAACATAATCAGACTTATCGAAACATCCTTTTCTTGGCGAATTATCTTCGGCAATGGCTCCTTTATTTCACTATTTAATACCGAGCATCACTTGCTTCCTGGTGACCCTGACGATGCCACCGGTCTGCAAAACTTTCCCACTTCTTACGAACAATCATCATCCTTACTCGCTCTGCGAGTTATTATTAAACGCATGCCAGGCCCTCGCGGGAAAAAAGTGTCAACCGTCAAATGAAGCTACTGGCGGCGGCGGCCGCGATTTGAATCCGCGAAAGATCGCGCGGCGACAGCCGTCATCACCGTTTGATGAATCGTTTCCCGCGGGCGGGCCACAGGTCAGGTACTTCCCCCTCAACCCCGGCGCACCTTCCCGCCAGCGGTTTAACCAGTTCCACCCAAACAGCCGCCGCCGCAGCCGCCGCCGCCGCCGCCTCCGCGGGTCCCGCGCGGCTTGCCTCCCGCGAGCGCGCGCCGCCGCGCCGTGCGCGGGCCGCATCAGTCGCGAACCGGTCGCGAGCGCGCCAGCATGAGGACCGCCGTGTCTTTGACCCGGGCGCTGCCGAGCCCCGCCCTCTCCGCCGTGGCCGCCGTCCTGGCGCTGCTGGCGCTGCTGCAGGCCGCCGACGCCAAGGTGTACGGCCGGTGCGAGCTGGCCAGCGCGCTCAAGTCCAAGGGGATCGCCAGCAAGGTACGGACAGAGACGGACGTCAGCAGCACAGGTTCCCCCGCTCGCGCGGCCTACGCCGCCGCTGCTTCGCCATTGTCGTCAGCTGCGGGGCGAGCCGGAGACCGGCGGGGGCCGCTCCGGAGGCCTTGGCAGTGAAACGGCGGCGGCCCGAGCTTCGTCTTTATGATGCTATCTCAGCAGAGCGTCCTGGGGAAGCGGCCTAAAGCACCTCCAGTGCGGTCGCATGACGCGCACCAGGCATGGCTTCTCGGAATGTTGAACATCTTCTGACAAACACGAAAGAAATGTAGCCAAAACAGTCACCTTCGCAGTGTTTATTATGTTTTCTGTTCTGTCAAAACGGGGGGCCATGTGGATTTGCCTTATTCCCTTATCGCTTTTAGATAATACAATCAGCAGTGTTTCCTGGTTAATGTACAGATGTAGCATGGAACGGGGGTAGTCAAACCGGGATACTGCTGTGCCAGTGCCATAGCAATGGCACATGTGTTTTTTTTTTCAACATTTTTTTTTTTTGGGGGGGGGGGGGCAATTAATGTAGTGATTACCTCCAATGAGTTTGTTTTACATCGCATACACATATTTCGCGTAAACCCGGAGAACTTGCTTGAGCGCAGCGATCCGGCTTGGACCCGAATCTGAACCAAAAACGATTTTTCCTTAGCAGACCGTCTACCACTTCCCCTCTCACTCCCCCCGCTAGCAGCTCTCTGACGCACGCACCCCTCTCACCCTCGCACTCACTACGCTCCGCCACACAAGTGCTTAGGATTCGGTTGAGGAGATGGACCCGAATGCTGTGGCATCGCGTTCGAACCGCAATGACTGCAGCAGAGATGTCGGTGCGAATCGGTTCCAAACCGGGCCGGCTGCGCTCACAGGCCAGCCGGAGAACCTCCCCTCCATCCCCTTGACACCCAGCCGCGGGGGTCACATTGTGTGGCCGCGGGCAACACACATCCGCGTGTCGTGGCGGAACCAGAGCGAGCGCTCTGTGGCGAGATACCGCCGGGCCCGTCACGAGGGACGTGGCCTGGCGTATATCTTCCTGGACAGCGGCAGCAGGCGGCGGCGGGGACGCGGCTGACGCCTGTGGGGCAGGCAACCCAGCCCCTCGGAGGGACACGGGTGTGCGGCGGGGGTGCCTACCCCGCGGGCCACAGGCGCTCGCCAGGCTGCCGCGACAGGTGTCCATACGACACACTACGGTCTCTGTTCTCGCTCCTAGGACATCGCGACGTGGGTGTGCATCGGCGAGAAGCTGTCCAGCATCGACACGGACACGGCCACGGACCCGGACGACGACGTGGACGGCACGGTGTACCACGGCGTGTTCCTCATCAGCGACAAGTGGTGGTGCGACAGGGGCAAGGCCGGCTGCGGTGTCACCTGCGCCCAGATGAAGAAGACCCTCGAGTCCAACATCGACTGCGCCAAAAAGGTACGGCGAAACAGACCACTCCGCCCGCCAACAACGTGACGAAGACGAAATCACTCCATAATTTTTAAAACGTTTATTTTAATTTTTCGCCCATATGTTTTTGAAACCCCTTGCCCGCAGGTCTTCTCCGAGACGAAACGAAGTAAAAAGAACGGCTTCAAGGCGTGGGGCGCGTACGAGGACTGCCTCGAGCCAGAGAGCTACGTGAGGGGCTGCGCCGGCCTGGAGGAGGAGGACGAGGACATCACCGTGTGGCAGCGCTCCGGCTTCAAAGGCGCGGGCAGCGGCAGCGCCCCCAGTGACGGCGCCGCCGACGAGTAGACGCTGTGTCCCCTGCAACTAACAGACTGACTCTGACAAAAATGTGATCTAAAAAAAAAAGCACAGCCATAGCAAAAGGAAAAGCTTCGATAGCCAGTATTTTTGTTTATTTGAAGGTAACATACTGACATAAGCCTTTAAAAGTTATTAATTTCATTAAAACATATTTATTCTGCAATTGGCGGTTCCTCATTTACGAAATCCAAATATCCGCTAACGAAAGGCTTAGTTACTAAGCCAAAGCCTGGTGTTCGTACCTAAGCTTATGTATAGGTGTTGGGCCGGCTTCCGGCCCCACGGGTTTACTGACCTCTCGCCTGGCCCGGCCTGGCCCTGGCACGGCCCGGCCGATGCACTTTTGGTGTGGGAAGTTGTTATTTTTCCTGGCAGCGGGCACGCCCTGACGGTAGGCAGTCAGACCGTCACCAGCGCACGTAGGGTGGACGCCTCGGGCGGCGGCAGAGCACTGCCTTGGGCGACGTAGACGGAACTATCGTCCACTCGTGGTAGAAAAAACAACAAACAGAACAACTCGGGAGATGATCAATCATGCGTATTTAGGAGAATTATTGGGCTGATCCAATTTTAATCAGTGCAAATATTTTAGCTGTTTTGCAATCTGTGCTGATCGTTTCACTGTGTAGCAGTTTCTGTCTACTGCACAGTTAAAACTCTCTGTCGGAATAGCACTTTTAAATTTATAGAACATTTACATACATTTGATTTAAATTTAAATTACTAATTCTATGCAGTGGGGTAAAAACGGTCCAGAACGGTCAGATTTTGTATTTTCTTTCCATTGATGGCCACTTTTCTCGATTTCTAGCCAATCTGGTCACTTTACGATCTTGGCCTTGAAGTAGTGATCTAGTAAGGTTCCTACTGGGGCATAATAAGCAAAACTACTTCACATCGTTGTCTACATTACAAGAAAAAGGGGTGGCCATCATTGGGCAGGCCCATTCTTAAGGTGGCCATCATTGGGCAGGCCCATTCTTAAGGTGGCCATCATAGGGCATCTTACCCTACTATACCAAACAACAGGACAGACATTCCTGTTTTGCTCAATTTTATCGCGAGTTTGTGCGATTTTTCGCGAGTAGGCTTATATGCGAGTTTTTGCGATTTTTCGCGAGTTCGACGCGAGTTGGGCGTGGGCAAGTGTACAACGAGTTGGATAGTGGAGGACCCCTCGCCAAGAAGTCCCTTTTGAACTCTCCCAGGCGCCGGGTGGTAGGCAGCTCAACGCGCACGCGTGCCCGTGCGGAGCGCCGGGTCCCGCTGCCCACCGCCGCCGGGTAGCGCCGCCGCCGGGCTGGGTGCCGCTGCGCTCTCCAAGTAGTGGGTGAAAGTGCAGCGCCCCGCCCGCCTCGGCCCGACCGCACCCAACATGAACGCGAACGCACACACACGCACACACTCACACACGTGTTGACACGTGACGTACGAGTTAACGACAAAACTTTCGTTTTAGGTATGCTCCTCGTCCCCCGCGGCTATCGTGGCTCACGGCTCCGTAGTGCGGGGTGAATGTGAGTATTCTTATCCGCAGGGAAGCGCATTGCAATTGTTCACGCTCATAGGGGGGCTGACAATAAGGGGCCCTCCGCCCCCAGGCTCAACTCTTCAGCGCGACATTTGCGCTGGTCAAATAGACGCCCAACACATGCAACAAATGGGGCGTAGTCTCCAGCTCCGCCTTGTCGCGGAGTACTGCGCGAAGAAGAGGCGAAGAGGCCCGCAGCAGTCGTTGACCTTAGGGGACGTGCGTCTGCATGTGTCATCGAAAGGGGGGCGTTCTGCAAGTAGGAAGGAAGGCCGTTTGCGCTGGTGGCGGGGCGGGGCGGGGCGGGGCGTGGTGGCAGCGGCGCCGCTCACGTAGTCGCGCTGTACTGCGGACGCTCGGAACGCGGCGCTACGCGGCGCTATGTCGGGTCGGGGCGCGGCGAGGTGCGGCGGTTCGAACCCCGCACAACCAATATATACCACACGGTCGGCTGAGAGCGCCGGTATGTGACCGGATGAAGTTCACCTGACCGGCAGAGTAGCACAAATATGGATCTAACCGTTCTTCGGTACCCAAACCCAAATTAATGACCACGATGAACAAAATACACAATTTTATTTAGGGCTGCTGCTGCTGCTGCTTTGCGTGTGAAGACATTGGGAGAAACTTTTACAGTATCGATTGTCGACATCAAGCGCCAGTCGGCTGTTTTCGGAGTCTTGGAAAGGGGGAACACCGGGGAACAAGGAGGAACGACCTCGAGCTTCCCGTTAAAACCAACCCCTTTTGCAAATATACTGGCACCGACCGGCTCGCGAAGAGTGCGCGCCTCGAACGCTCCCACCCCCCTCCCTCCCCCTGTCTCTCCCTCCCCTCTCTCCCGTGCAGGACACTGCCCAAGCAGGCCCAAGCCCAGCCCACCGCAGCTCCGTGCCAACAACTCTGTTTCTCGTCAACATTAGCACTTTCTTCACGATAAGAGAGCAAATGGAAGGGGGCATCGGTATAGTGTATTGGGTGGCGGTAGGGTGGTGGAAAGGTAGAAAGTATCGGGTGGCGTGAAAACTTGTGAGCACACCCTTTCTCAGTCGCATGACAAATACGGACGTATCCGGCAATTTAAGACCGGCACGACTGGACGTGGGCAGCATAAAGTTTTACTTAATTTCCGACGTGGGTCACTACGTAGCAGCCAGGATGGCGTTTGTACCGTGAAGCTCACAGGTATTCACCAGACCCCGCTAGCACCGTGTGTCAGGGCTACGACGCTACGACACAGCAAGTACTATTCGGATTTGCCTACTCGCAAGGCAAGGTAGCGTATGCAAACTCGCATCTTTCTGCTTGGTCCCTGGTGTGTCGTAGGCCTCACACACGGCACTACATTCTCCCTGGGGGTATGAGGACTTCCCCGACCAGGCACCGCCACCCATAACAGCACTATAGGTTGAAGTTGAAACCGTTTATCCCTTCTCCTCCATTCAAACGACGATTCATCGTCTATGATCAATGATCAGTGGTGTCCGAG